CCCCCCCACTACCAAGAAGCTATCTGCAATTAATACCTGCTGGAGAATGAAAACTCAGTTTTCTCTCAATCAATCTCTCTGGGAGTATTAACTACACTTCAGGGTAGGCCCCATACCCAGGGATAGGGAACAACAAAACAAACTCAATGGTGTTTTCGTATTATTTTGCTTTGTTTGGGCTTTTTTTAGTGTGAGCTTGGTCTTCTACTTCTTTTCTTCCCTTCTTCATTTCTTTCTATCATAGTGTCTTGTCTCTTGTGTGTGTGTGTGTGTGTGTGTGTGTGTGTGTGTGTGTGCGCGCTTTTGTTTGCTGTTGCTTGTTCTTTTTAAGAGAGAGAAGGCATGTCATTGGATGTGTGGGGAAGTGAGGGAGATCTGGGAGGTGTTGGGGGAGGGGAAAATCTGATCGGAATATATTGTATGAAAAAAATGAGTATAGCTGGGCGTTGGTGGCGCATGCCTTTAATCCCAGCACTTGGGAGGCAGAGGCTAGGTGGATCTCTGTGAGTTCAAGACCAGCCTGGGCTACAAGGGTTCTTGGACAGCCTCCAAAGCCACAGAGAAACCCTGTCTCGAAAAACCAAAAAAAAAAAAAAAAAAAAAAAAAAAAAAAGAAAAAGAAAAAAATGAGTAAAAAACAAAGAATTGAGAAGAAAAAAATCCTTATTCATTCACTTATTTATTTTTAATGTATACTTATTGATTTTATTTTTGTGGTGTGAATGTGTGTGTGTTGATGTGTACCTGAGAGTGTGTGTGTGTGTGTGTGTGTGTGTGTGTGTATACGTGTGTGCGAGTGAAGAATGCAGAGGTTGCTGTCAAGCTTTATCAATCTTTGCCTCAATCTTTGAGGCAGGGTCTCTCATTGAGACTGGAGCTTACCAGACTGGAAGGACTACCTACTTAGTGAGTTCCAGAGAACCTGTGACTTTCTTCCCAGAGCTGGAACCACAGGTATGTGCCACCATTCCTGGTTTTTCACATGGATTCTGGGGATCCGAACTTAGATCCTCAATTATAACAAGCACTTTACTGACTGCATCTCTTACATTTGTTGAGTTTTTATTTTTCTGATTTAAAAAACAATATGCCACTTATTACAAACAACTGGAACATGATGAAAGAAGAGAGAAAGGATCTTTTATTATTATCCACACCCTGCCTTCCCATCACTGCCAAAGATGCTCACTGGAAACAGTTTGGATTTTATCCCTTCCTTCTAAGATCATATGCAAACTATGTTGCTTTTCAAAGTAGAAATCTTATTATAATACAAAACTGTTTTATAAACTTAATTATTGGTCTTAGAAAATAGTAATATAACTGCCAGGTATACTGTCACATGCCTTTAATCCCAGCACTCAGGAGGTAGAGGCAGATGGATCTTTAAGTTCAAGGCTAGCCTGGTCTACCCTAGAGAGTTCCAGGACAGCTAGGGCTGCACAAAAAGACACTGTCTCAAAAAAATAAAAAGAAAGAAAAAAGGAAAAGAAAAATTGTATAAAATTTTAAGCACATCTTATTTTTATAACATGGTATAAAGTATATACAGCCTTAATAATGCTTATTATAGATGGCCTGTGGGCTGTAATAGGACCAGCCTCCAGAACTGGCCTGTTGGTTCTAGGAGGTCAGAATTCAGCTATCTTTACACTTTGTCCTTTAAAAGAGGCTTTAAAATTCAGGTTCTTCAATTACACAAGACATTTTTGTATGGTGTAAGATATTTGGAAAAATATAAAAATACCAAAAAAATCAAAATTTATTCTGTAATGATAACTAAACATTTGTACACACTGATAGATGCTACTTTAAAGTACTTATTGGCAATATTTTTGTTTCTATGTGTGTTCATGTATTTATTATATATTTATTTCTATATTTATGTGTATAGATGAGTATCTTATACAAAATGGATATCTCTATGGATAAAGCTTCACATACTACTTTTAAAATATTTTATTATAACCAGGAGTAGTTGTGCATGCCTTTAATCCCAGCACTTGGGAGGCAGAGGCAGGTGGATCTCTGTGAGTTCGAGGCCAGCCTGGTCTCCAGAACGAGTGCCAGGATAGGCTCCAAAGCTACACAGAAAAACCATGTCTCAAAAAAACCAAAAAAAAAAAAGATCCTGTTTCAAACATATATATTATATATTAAGCATTTTAGTATGTCTTTCTTTAAACACTGTGGTGGGTGACAATTTGTTACATATGGGATATTCTATAGGATACTGAACAAGTCCCTTACTTTGTTTGACCTCTATTATACTTTGTGTCACATAAATAAAGTGGTTTGTGTAGCCTTTATTTAATAAACAGACCATCTTTTCTAACAATGGATCTGCATAGTTTTTAGACTACCTTTCACCATATGTGTGATGTCTCCCACTGAGTTCAGAATGTCATAGGAAACAGCAAACTTTATTTGGTCAAGTTCTTTCGGGGAATCTGAGAATACTCTGATAAAATGCCATTCCTACTGCTGAAAGTATAAATGCTGCTACTTAAATACTTGTAACACTGGGTTGTATTTAAGGTACAAAATAATTGATAGAACCGAGAACATGGTAGTCTGTTTCTTATCCACAGGTGATGGACTCCTACACCTCAGGAGGTTCCAGGAGCAGTGAGAGTCCTGGCTCCGGAAGTGTCACGTCCATCCTGTACAGGCACACCTGTGATAATGTCTAACTTAAGCAGAGATGGCTAGCTACCAACAGGACAACTGTAACCCATCATGTAAGTGATGTAAACATGCTCTTTCTCCAAATAGCTCACTGCAATGTAATGTATTTTCTAACTGTGGCCGTAGTCTCTGAAGGTATAATCAATTCATGTTTTCTATACCTTTCTTAGCTGAATGACAACACTTTGCAAATGGTAGGTTAAGAAGTTGGCAAAGCCGGGCGTTGGTGGCGTACGCCTTTAATCCCGCACTCGGGTGGCAGAGGCAGGCGGATCTCTATGAATTTGAGACCAGTCTGGTCTACAAGAGCTATTTCCAGGACAGCCTCCAATGCCACAGAGAAACCCTGTCTGGAACCACCCCTGCCCCCCCCCAAAGAAGTTGGCAAGATGTTTTGCCACCATAAAGATCATTGTTTTATGCTCATTTTATGCTCAGTTTTCTCAACTGCTTGTCTTTACTGATGTCTTTACATGTTTGCCCTTGTGATAATTATATAGTGTGCTAGTGTATTTGGGGTGAATATATACATTGTCTTGAGTAATATATACATACATATATATTATCACATATATGTATATATATTGTCTTGAGTAATCTGATTCCATGTCATTTTTAGCACATAATCTTGCATAAGGCTCTTATGCATAGAAGTGATTTAGGATAGAAAAAGCAGGTAACTGACATTGGTTAGTGAGATTTATTTCATTTTAATGATATGTAAAACAAATACGTAGCATTTGTTGACTTAATTGAGGACTGGGTAAATTGTAAAACATGAAATGGTCCAATATTCTTTTAACTTTTATTATTATTGTTGTTATTTTGTTTTAAACTTGGTGAAAAGAAGAAAAATGAGAATAGCAAAGACAAAAATCAAATGATTTTCTATGTGTCTATATGTGCATAGATTTGGATGACATACACTAAAGTTTTAACACAAGAGCTACAGTGAGATTAGGAGTGATTATTTTTTTCTTCTCTATTTTTTTTTCTGTAATGCTAGGGATAGAACTTGGGGCTTGTGCATACTGGGCAAGCCCTCTACCACTGAAGTCTGTCAGCTTGTGCTTCTAAAGTATTAATCTTGTAGTCACAAAGTGTGTTATACAAAGAAGGCTTACATAAGACAAACTTGGAATAATATTTGCTTTCAGAAACCAATAGACTTATCTCTATGCCTTTTACAATCTTGCATATGAAGAAATGTTTTTTGTGCAGTTCTGTGTGGCATCAGAGGAGTGAGACGGTAGGAATGTGGAGCAGAGTCATCTGGAGAACTTTTAAGACATAACACCACTCATCTCCACGTACTGTTTGTTCCCTACCTTTGTGGGCTATGCATGCGTGCTCGAACTCACACACACACACACACGTAATGTACATTATTTGATCTGCTTTTCCCCACACTAGAGAATTACCGCATTGTGATTAGCTAGCTATGAGTTTTGAAGTCGTTTTGTCATATTTTAGGTTTTTTTGTCTTTTTTTTTTAATTCTTATATTCAAGTATGGCATGCCCCAGAGTTCTGCTCCAGGAAACTCTCTCACAAGGCTCCTTTGTGACATGGCACTTGGCTCCACCAACCAAGTGTTTTGGCCCACTTTCCCCAATGCAGGGCAGACTTAGGAAGTTATTGTTTGTAAGGATTTTATAAAGCAACTCACCAGTCCCCTTTACAATGAAGGGTTATTATCTGGCAAATGACACATGAGCAAACTTTGATCAGTTTATCTGCAGGACCAAGAGTTAAGGAGTCTAAGGACCTGACAGGGACATGTTCAAAGGAAAGTTTAACACATTTGTGGCTAACCAGTTTTGTAGGTAGTGGCCACATGTTCTCCTAAAAGTGTGCCTGGTGTATATTTATGAATAGAAAAATTTTCAAGTATTACTTCCTGTTTTTACCTTTGCTGTTATTCAAACATATAAATTTAAGTTGGACAACTTCTAGAGCCAGATATGTATATTTCTGAAAGCTTGATGATAAAGTAACTTAAAAACTAAACAAGTGCTTTTCTCTAAGAAAGTTGGATAAATGTACAACACTACTCACCCAGTGAGTTGGACATCAGTATCAGTTTGTCCCTGTATTTTGGTTTAAGACAAACAGGATTTCCATTTAGATCCATTTTCCACAGCTTCATCAGTTTTTTCAGTAAAGTCTCCAAATCCTATAATCAGGGAAGAAAAAGGAAGGCATGGGATTTCCTAATTATCAGTACTTCTCATGCCAACTGCTTTTTGAAGGCAGTGACTGCTTTTTATGGAGTTCTAGCTCTTCAAGTAGAACAGGTGCTACCACCAGCTTTGTCTATACCAGAAGTGGGGTAGCTAAAGAGGAGGCAAAATGGGCTGTCTTAAGTTGGTGATCACAGCACTGCTCTTGATCATGTTGACCTTAAGTCAACCCAATCTATAGCTAAGAAAACACATTTTCTCCAGAAGATACCCAGTTCTCAGTGGGATTCATAAGGGTTTACACACTGAGGCAATGGGAAAGTAGTGAGTGAACACTCCATTAGCCGTGTCTGGAAGAAGCAGGGAGCAACAGAGCTGCCTAGACCCTCTCCAGCCTGCAGGCTGTGCCATGTGCTCCAGGCTTCCAGATTTCAGTAGTGTCACATGTACAGGAGAGGATCTTTGGTGGTGCAGCTGCCTTTGAGTCCTTTCTGCTCCTGTAAATAACTCCTCCCCCATCTTCCTTTAAGTCCCCCCAGTAAAACTCATTGGTTCATCAAATCAATAAACATTGAAGAGTCTGTCAGCATTATAGGCAATATACATTGTTGCCTTTTTTTAAATGAAGAATGTGGGAAAATCCTGTCAAACTGCAAAACAGAAAATATAATTATCACCCAAAGATCACATTGGACACATTGTTACATGCCCTTCCGATCTTTGGGAGGCATAGGGACTTCTTTTGAAATTATGATCTTACTGTAGCTGCGATTTCTTTCTTTCTTTCTTTCTTTCTTTCTTTCTTTCTTTCTCTTTCTTTTGTTGCTGCTTTTTTGATAGGGTCTCATTATTTACCCCTCACTGGCCTGGCACTCACTCTGTAGACCAGGCTGGCCTAGAAGTCACAGAGATCCACCTGCCCCTGCCTCCTGAGGGCTGGGATAAAAAGTGTCCTATCTTTTGTGATAACCATCTGCATGCTTTTATAGTTTTCCAGAAAATGACTCATTGATATTACAGGAAAAACTAACATAGTCCATGGTGTTCGGGTCACATGGCGGTGAGGGGGACAGGTGAGTAGTACCTCAGAAGTGGCTTTCTGGTGACCCTTCCTACCTCCTCTTTCTTACTATTGCACTGCTTTTCCCAACAAGTGTCAAACCCCGAACCAAATCTTTATCTTTCTGCCATTCCTTTTCTTGCTTTCTCCCTTTCCTCTTTTTTTTTTTTTGTTTTTATTTTTGTTTTTATAGACAGGGTTTCTCTGTGGCTTTGGGGGTTGTCCTGGAACTAGCTCTTATAGACCAGGCTGGCCTCAAACTAACAGAGATCTGCCTGCCTCTGCCTCCCGAGTGCTGGGATTAAAGGGGTGTGTCACTGTGCCTGGCTTCTTGTCTTTATAAAGTGGCTACAATTAGAATTAATTGCCATGACATATAAAGTGCTCAGAACAAAACAGGTAAGCTAGTGCATATGTTCATTTTCTGCCTTTTGCCTGCCCTGCTGTTCTTCAGCTGAGTCCCTTTCTCTTAATTTTGACTAATAGTGAAATTTAAAGACTAAACTTCTGACCCATTGACCAACAAGTCATTATCTTCACGTAGCAAAGTGGTCTCCAAAATTATAACCTTAGCCCTCATTCTTGGACCTTAGATCCTGCTCTTTCTTAAACATGTGTTCCACATTTAACATAGCCATGAATATTTTATGCAAGAGTTCTGTATTTCTCTTCCTGTAAAAGCCACGAGGAAGGGACTGTGTGCTGTATGTTTCATACGATGTCCATAACAAGAGAACTTTAGACCGATACAGATAAAACAATGCTTTGAGTTTTGTTAATTATTCCTCACTTGATAAATGACCCTGGACACACTCCCTCCAGTGTATGTTTACTTAAGGCTAAACTAATCCTGCTCTGAAATACGATTACCCTTTGGATACGCTCTGGTTGTTCATTGCCTTCCTGTCCTTCATAAAATGCTTTCACTCCCCTGGCCTTCAATAAATTACTCAGGGAACCAGACACTTCTCTGGACAGTCTCTGTTTGATAAATGATCATGTCATGCTATCGCTTAGAGGAGTGTGGTAAAACTCTGAGGAGCCAATTCCCTTTCCCCTGCAGGCTGGTACCGGCCCTGCATGGGTGTCTGGAGCATGCCGTGTTCTTCGCTTTAATGATGACGGTGATGAACCTGTATTTGACCAGTATGTTCCAATCTTTATCGGAAACGTCTGGCCCAACTGTCCTTACTAAGTCTAAAGACAGCCATTTGTCATTCCTCTGACTGCCTGTCATCATCTTCCTGAGAAAATCTATAATTTTTGGCTTGTTCCTGACTAAAGTGTGGAATGAATAAATTTATCTTTGGGCCATGCTTGCTTGCCAGGATCAATATTGAGCAGAGGTTGAATAAATTAGAAACTAAGAAAACATGACAGGCCATGGTGGTTTGTTCGTTTGTGTATTATAAATCAAACATTTAGTTTATAGAAGAGGCAAGCATGACAAGTTTTTTATTTTTCCCATTTATTCTAAAGGTTCTGTACCTCATGATAAATGGTCATCAGAAAACCAATGAAGTAAATCACTAATGAATCTGACTGTGGGATGAACTCAGGTCGTTTTATTGATTTGGCAAACTTTGCAGACATAAAAACTGTGGCAAAGATTAAGGATTTTTGTTGTTTTTCTTCCAAGATTTGTTTTGTTTGCATTTTTGGACATGCATTTGACTTTGTATAGCATTAGCAACTTGGATAATGTTGGTGTAGTAAAGTTCATATGTATAAATGTGTGTTGAATTATAAATCATTAAAATATTTGGTGTCTTTATACATTGATACATGCCTGTTTAAGGCAGTTACAGGAAAGAAACGCAAAGCAAAAAGTCATGAAATGTCATTTAAAGGCGAGCCCCATGACTTAAGATTTATTATTATTATTATTATGATTATCATCGTCATCAGGCTTGAAACTTCTCTTTGCTCTCCTTCTCAGTAGCTGACCTTGGTCCGTGCTTTACCAGGGGACGCAGCCTGTGTCCTCACACCTCTTTTCCCGTTTTCACTTTTCTCAATGAAGTAAGAGTGCCCTTTCTTTCCCCACTAATCAGCCTTTTGATCCCGGCTGCCTCCTCTGGGGTCTTCTGTTACATCTTCATATCTGGTCTTCCTTCTCTGGCCCTTAGCCTTTCTTTCCTTAGCCTCTCAAAGTTCTTTGTGCATGTGAATCACCAAGGGGGTCTGTGGGATGGCTCAGCAGGTAAAGAGCTTGTCATTAAGCCTGACTACCTGAGTTCAGCTTTGGGGTCCCACGTGACTGAAGGAGAAAACTCTCGCAAGTTGTCCTCTGCACAACATACATGCTACACACACACACACACACACAAGAATAAATGTAATTTTAAATTTTAAAAAGGAATCACAAGGGTCCTTGTTTAAGTGCATGTCCTGAGCATCGTGTCTGATGAAGAAATCATGACTGCTGCTGCTCTGAGCTCAGACTCCATGTGAGGCTCTAAAACTATAGACCAATTCCTTCTTTTCTCAATCCCTGGGCACTCCCACAGGCTGACAAGGTCCTGAGAGCCATATCAAGGAATAAAATGTTACCAAGCATGGAATTTTTAAGTCTCAGTTTTTTGGGGCATCATAATCTGTGGACCATTCACTTATCCTGTTGGGTTCTCCATTCCAGAAGGCTACACAGAGCCTCCAGGAACCTGTGACTTTTCTATACTTGACATCTGCTCCTTCAAAAACAATGTTTGGTTTTCTTCCTTGACTCACAAAAGAGGCTACATTCACAAAACAAGTTTTCTTCTTGTAGTCCACCACTATGGCCATTTACTTAAACCTTCACAGAAAATAATTCCTCCTGCCATGTTTGTATCCATGGTGGTATTTGCATTAACAGCCAATATGCTGAAGAGTCCTACAGTCATCTGACCTCTGTGCTGTATGTAGCCTCACACATACAACTATTTGTTTGTTTTTCTGGAATGTCTCAAAGACACTCCGACTGCATGACCAACATTCATCGTCTTCTTAATCCCCAAACCTGACTCTAGAGTTTTTTATATCTTGTTTACACTGCTCAATATTCCCTAAATCCAACTTAGAACCAAGTCTTGCTCACTTTATTCTCCAAACATTTCTCTGGTTTGTTCACTCCATTTCCACCGAAGCGTTAAGGTTTCTACTACTTCTCATTTCTTAGTTGTCCTGTATTCTTCCAATCTGTTCTTCACACCCTAGTTAAGCAGAATCTTTTCAGAATGCTAACATCTAATTACTTCACACCTTCAGTGGCTCCTGGTGCTCTTAGAATAAACACAGAACTGTATTATAGCCAAGGCAGCTAGTCGGTCCACAGCGTCTCTTTGGGCTGTGTTCTGCCTTCACTCTCTCAGCTTCATGTGCCTCTGTTTGAAATGCATATGTTTGCTGTAGTGGGCCATTCCCTGGCCTCTAAGATCTCACTTCAGCTAATCCTTCTCAAGGAAGTTTGCTATCCTCACCAGTTAATGAGAATCTTCCCACTACAAGCGTTCAGGATCACCTCGTGGCACTGGTGCAATTTTTACATGGCTTTTGCCCCTGGTTTTCCTTCCCTTTAATACTAAGAGTTCTTAAGGACTGGCCAGGGATTCGTGTGTGTTCCATGCTGGCTGTTGTCTCCACCATTGCCTGGCTGGGACTGCCACAAGGTAGGTATTTTCAATGAATGAAGAGAGATGAATAAACAGTAGAGAGCAGAGGATGTCGTGTTAGAAGCAGGTTAGGAATTAAAGGCAAAAGGCTGCATGGATCAGGTTGTGAAGACATTCTTTATTCAAGGGGTATACACACACACATGGGAAGAAAAGGAACGATGATTTTCTTTCTTGTACTTCCTCTTCTGCATCTTACCCACCCTTTTCATTTACTCTTGCCTACAAGTCCCTGACTTGGATCCGCTTTGGAGAGATGAGGGCAGGCTGAGAGCAACATGGCCTAAGGACTCCCTGACAGCTGTAGGTCTGGAGAGTGAAGGGAAGGGATGGGGTTCCAGGTAGGCAGTGACAGAAGCTATGGCTATGACCTGAAGCCTTGGTTGTACCTTGGCTTCTAATGCACTCACTTCCCATAGGCTCTTGGGCCATCAGTAAATGAGGACATGGTCATGGTCCATGAGTGTCTGTGTTTCCTAGCAACTCAATTCTTTCTTCTTTTCTTTTTTTTTCCCCCACAGAGCACAAAGATTTCAGTAGTCTGGATAGACTGGTTGTTTCTTTTTCCCTACATGTGTTTTTAGGAAAATTCTCCTTGATAGCTAGTCTTCTTTTTCATTGTTCAAGTAGCAATTTTGATTGGAAGACTTAGTAACAATCATTCTAAGAGATCATTATTTTTCTATTTTTTAAAAAAATGATCTTCCATGTCAAAATATACTGTAAATGCCATTATTTTTTACTTTATGATACTACATAAAAATCCATGAGGAAGATAAACAGGATTTCTTATTATAATTATAATATAATAATTTTTATTATTAGAATTTATTATGATATTTAATAAAAAGAGTGACTATAGAGTTCATTTATAATTATACATTTGAATTTAAATTCTGAATTTTTATTTTTAGAGACGCCTAGCTAAGTTCTCAGCAGAAGCAATCATTTTCACATCCTACTTCCCTGTGTAGCTAACTACACTTACTGGTTTCTGTGTGTGGCTCATTTGTGGGCCTGCTGGTGTCTGTCCAGAGGCAGCTGCTCTGTAAGTGCTGAGCACTTCAGGTAATTATCGTGGTGTGTCGCTTTCTCTAACGATGGCTGCCTTTCCCCCATGGCACAAAGCTGTCTGTTTCTGACAACCTTTTGGATGAAGTCGGTGACCTTATTCATGGCATGGGAGACTTCGTCCCCAAGGCATAGCATTTACCAGTAGGTTAGGGCAAAAAGAATGACAAACTTGAAGCCATAACATAGAGATCTTGGATTCAGAATACATACAAAGAAAGAAGTTAATGTTCCGATGCCAGGCTCCAAGACTATCTTTGACTCAGCCTTCAGGAGAAGACTTAAAGCACAAAAGTTTGTTCAGATATGTCCTGGGTAGGGTCTATATTCAGATTCAAATAATTTAGTCTAGGCATTTTTTTTCACATTTTTCTAATAGGTTCATATTTTGTAAGCAACTTGGCATTTCTCTTGCAGATTTCAATATCCCTTCTTTGTTCTATACTTTTGACATTTTAACTATACTACAATGTGAAAGAGTCATTTTTCTTGTCCTATCTTTCTGGATATGCATTCCCCCCCTAGAAATTTGGGGAAATTCCTGCTACAATGTCATTAAATAAATTTTTCTATGTCTTTAGTTTTTTTAAGCTAGGATAGAGTGCTTAACATTTTATTCTTGCACCCTGAAAATTCTATGGGTTCTACCTAAAAATACACCCCAACACACCCACTCCTCTTCATCTCCAAGCAACCATCATCTCCTTTTCTCAAATACATTATCCTACTTGTTGCCTCTAATAGCTTCCCAACTCCTGTCTTTGCTTTTATTCTTGAAACTCATTCATTTTGAAAATCCTTTTGAAAAATATTCCTTCCAATGACTGACATCTCTGCACTTAGAACTGGGTCATAATTATGTCCTGTAAGGAACTTGTGATCTGGTTCCTATGCCTTTTCTTTCTAAACTTGATCTTAGCCAAAATGCCAAGAAGTGATATGTCTTTTTTCTGATCTCATATTGTAGGGTTACTTCTGTGATACTGAACTTTTGGGGCACCTGTAATGTATCAGAAACAAGGACTAGCTCTGGGATCCTACCATAGTGAACTGACCTCTTTGAACATTCCAGACTGTCTCAGAGAAACACATCTGTTAGGGCTTATGGCTGGCATGTTCACCATCTAGCTCTCTTTTCTTTTTGAGGCAGTGCTGCTATATAGACCAAGCTGACCTTGAACTTGTATCAGTCATACACTCTTTGTCTTTCAAGTGTTGGGATTACAGGTATGTGCCATTATGTTCAGCTTGTACATTCTTGAGGCCTGAAACTGAATCCTTCCTTCCTCTGTAGTACAATGCCTGACAAATATAGAAATGTTCAACACATAGCTGGATGAATGATCAATGTAATGACATGGTATGGTATAATATAATAAGACATGTACTTAGCTAGTGCAAATTAGAATAAGTTGCTGTCTCTGTACTTTTCCACATAGCATCAGGGGTCGGCTAGGAGTGGTAATAGTTCCTAGAAATTCATCCCTTGGGAGCATAGAGTTAAAAAAAAAAGAAGAAACTTTGCCTCTAAAAGAAAAAGCTTGATGGGCAAATAATGTAGATAGAAAAAGGCATGTAGCTCCTCAGAGAAATTTGCATTTGGTTGGCAAAATATGCAGATGTTGAATATAGAGGAGAAAACAGGGAAGAAGATACAAATAGTTATATGTAAGAAGTAGAGACTGAGAAGATAATTTTAGAATAAATACAGAATAGTTCTTTAAAAGGTAACATTTTATAAGTATGTCTAAGCATATCTTAAAACCACAATGCCAAGTCAGCTTGAGGCTGACTTCCGCCCAGTTACCTTCACATGCATCAGCTGGTTGTCAACTGCGATCAGGTGATTAAGGTTCTCCAGTGTCTCTAAGTCTTTTATGTCATCAATGTTATTGTTGCTGATATTCAAAATAGAGAGGGATTTCTGGAAGGAAAACAATGACGTTAGCATTAGTAAGTCACCTAAGTACTACAGATAGAAGCAGAGGCCTCAGGTCCTTTACAGCTTCAAGGGTGTTGGTTCAGGGTACTTTGTAGGCAAGAAACAAAGGCACAGATTCTGTTCCAATGTTTTCAGTACAAACTTTGGAACCATAGTGTGTGATGTAGCTGACTCTCATCTCTAGTTCCTTCCACAAACTCTATGTTCCTCCTCCAGAATACAATATAAAGTAGCAAAGCTACAAATTAAAAAGAAAAAAAAAACACAACTAGTAAAAATGACAGCTCAGTGTAGACAAAAAATGTTTACTGCAGTTTAATCACATGACTGTTCTGTGCTAAATATCATACAGGGAAGAAGCTGGGTGACCTGATGTGATAGGGTGTCTAGTTTTTACTTTTATTGTTCCCTCTTTAGTTTTCTCTTGATAATTCATTTGTTCAGAAGGCACTGAGATAATGATGTCAGTGTTAGCTAATAAAATGACAAGGCAAATATACTGTATTTGAGGCTTGGGAATCTCTGTCAAATCTATCTATGAAGACAGCCATATATAGTCAACCTTCAGAAAAAATTCCTGATATTTAGAAGTTATGATTAGTCTCTATTATTTGTACAAAGTAATAAATTCATTATGACATTTTTGTACACCCCCCCCCCCCCCCCCCCCCCCCTCTGGCCACTATTTCTGACTCTGCCACTAATACATTTTAAGGCGAGATAATTGGGAAAAAATGATGCTTTAATATTTAGAATTTCAGAATCTGCTTGAATCTGTGCAAAAACTAAACTAGCGAAAAGGTTTTCAGTGGTGTTCTGAGATAAAACTAGAAGAAAGACAATATGCCTCTTGGAGGCGCTGGAGTCTGACAAGATCACTGTTAGTGTTAACAAGGTCTTACAGGTCCTGCCACAAGTACTCCTTTCTGGTGGTCATTTTCTGTAAATAAGCAGAAGACATTGGGGGATGGTATAATGGACTGTTGGATTCTTTCTTGTCTGACAACCTTTAGCAAAAGGTGTGCCAACCAACTACCCAGCCAGATTACCCATATACCAACGAGCATCAACTACTTTTAACACTCATGGATACCTTGAGAAAACGACACAATGATTACTGCTAATTGCCCTACTCCTAAAGGTGCAGGACTGTTTCCAACAGTTTATACCTGGTTTTGCTGACACAAACCTCTGTGAACTGCAGATAACCTTGCAACCATTTCCATAAAGGCAAGAGTGGAAGCAATTTCTCCTCCTGGCCCAGCAGAGGGACCACTGCCACTGATGATAAACACTCAAAGCAGTGCAGACCCAAATCTCCATTTATATGCAAAGTGTGCAAACACAAACCTTCATTTGCATGCAAGCTGTGCTGTGATTGGTCTAAATATCCCTTTTATGGCTATGTAAAACAGTTCCCAGCTGAATTCTGTGTTCCTCACTGCTGTTGGCACACCAGGTTCCCTTTCCTTGTCTATTTGTAGTATCTTGAGCTGAAATGGCAATGCAAGTAGGAAGCTGCAGAAACAGCAAAGCAGCACCTGCAATAGCTGACCAATTGCCAGGCAGAGCAGCAAAAGTGGCAATGCATCTAGCTGCATGCTAACAACTGCAGAGGGGCAAGGCAGCTAGCTGCATGCTGACAGCAGCAGAGGCAGCTAGGCAGCCTGAGAGTATGGCCAGTGCAGGAACAAAGGGAAGAGTGTGTGGCAGATGAAGATGATGGGAAGCTAAGCTGAAGGATACTGGAATAGCTACAGAGGACAGACTGAAGAACCTGGGCACTGGAAGAGTTCTCAAGAACTGCCAAGCCTTTAAGGAGAAGGATCTCAGATATCCAAACCCAAGAGTTGTAACGATGGCTGCCCGCAAGGGCTTAGGAACCCTGATACCCAGACCTTCCCAGAAGCTGCCACATCAGTAGTTTCAAGGGCTACAGAACCACAACTTTGTAGGTTTCCTGTGAGAACTGTAATACTTAAAGAGCTAAGGGTCCCCAAACCCAAAGCTCACCACTGTCCAACATGGAGCTACCAAAAGCCTATAATCTTCATCACTTAGGAGATGGAGGCAGAAGGATCACAAGTTCAAGGCCTAGCTAGGCTAGACTAAGGTCAAGGCAAGCCTGGGCAAATTAGTGAGACCCTATCCCAAAAACACAAAGTAAAAGAGGGCTATGGACACCGGGAATATTTCCAGGGCACCTACTTACTATGCACCAGGTCCTAGGCCCAATCCCCACTGCTGGGATTCACTTTACAAAACGAATGCCTGCCGCAGACCACACTTGCAGAGCTTCTCCGTGCTCTTATGTTTTCTACCCAGGAAGAACAGAAGCCCCAGGGAACTTATTGGTAACATGCCTAGTTGTCCCCGCAGTGGGGTTGGTCTACTTGTAGCAGTAGAGGTTGAGCTGTGGCCGCTGACAACACAGTGGAGTCCCTGGGGACCAGGTGGCATGGTAACTAGGTTACTTCTTTCTTTCCTAACTTAAAGGACCACTTCTCAGTTGTCTAAGAAACATGTTCCTTCCTTTCTGGGCCTTTGAAATCAAAACTGATGAAATCTCGACAACTTTGTCCCATTTATAAATCTCCTAGCCCGGAACTGAAGGTAGTGTGACAAAGACCCTGTGGATATTAGGACTACCAGTCAATCTCATGGGTGAGTCCTGTATCTCACTTCACAGTAACACCTCCTTGAAGACTGGCTATCCAGCAACACGGCCGGCTCCACAAACCTGAGTTTTGTATCTCAAAATACCTAAAAAACAAAGCTTGCCAAATAACTGTCCACTCCCTTTCCTTAAAGTTTTCCCCAAAATTTAAAAACATGAGCCATGATAGCAACACTCACATTATGGGCCTGTATTAGAACTTCGGTTCACATAACCTGCTCACACGTTTCTTTCAGTCCTTCTGGTTAGAAAGGTAGGCATACCTCCCTGCTTTATAGTACTGTCTGTCATACTGAGAGACTGAAGGAGAAAATCAATGTCAACTCTCAAGTTTTCAGTGGGCAGATAAACAGGAAGATTATGCACACACTCCAATACACCCTCTTGCTCCACCGTGACTTATCCGTCACTGCATTCTGTCCAAACTTTCAATATGGCCTTACTGACAGAGAATGGAGAGTCCTAGGGTCACACAGAAGCTTTTCTCCCAATGGAAGCCTCTGCCTTTCAACATGAAGCTCTCTCAGTTCTTCCAGTCCTTCCAGACCTTCTATGACTGCAATGTAATTGCCTCCCAGATACCTGCAAAACACAGACATGGCTTCAAATAGATTTTCTGAGAATGCTGTGGACTTTAAGCCTGATAAAACTATAACAAAAAGGGCAGGGGAGGTGGTCACTGGGTAAAACACTTGCTTTGCAAGCATTAGGACCTTAGTTTGAACCCTCAGAACCCACATAAAGTGGTCTTGTTAGTGAGCACCTGTAATCTTGGAACTCCTTGGGTGTATTGGGAGATGGAGACAGAAGAATTCTCAGAAGCTCATGGGTCAGCCAGCCTGGAACATGAAGAAGACCCTGCCTCAAACAAGGTGGGAGGTGAGGACCAACTCTGGAGGTTGTTCTCTGACCTCCACATGCTCACACCTGCCTTCACATACAAGAATGTGTACACATACGTGTGCACACACACAGAGAAATAAAAATATATGCACAGAATGTTATCTTTCTATTGAACCTATGCAAGTTTCATCTAAATCACAAATTATATTGTTACATTTAATTTGGTCTAGAATACATTAACTTTTTTACATTTTTTCAGTTAGCATTGATTAATTGTACAAACCAATGGGTTTCATTAGGATATCTCATATATGTATATATGTAATATACATCGTCAATTTTTTTCAGTGATTTTTGAGACAGGATTTCATTGTGTAGCCCAGGCTAGCTTTGAACATCTAGAAATCCTCTTGCCCCAGACTTCTGGGGATTACAGGCGGGAGCCACTATGTCCACCTTATCAGGTTTAAATAAATTATCACATTATATATGAATATACTACATATAATAGAGTAAAATTAAAAGAGAGATCTATTCCATGAAACTTGTAAGAATCAGACTTAATCATACTTTAGCTTTGCAAACTAATGTAAACATTGGAAATACTTGCCTGCATACAGTATGCACAAGAAAGAGAGAGAGAGAGAGAGAGAGAGAGAGCGAGAGGGAGCGAGAGGGAGAGAGAAATAGACTCATATATTCT